CTTTGTGAATGGCAAGATCCAGTTCTTCTGCCTGCAGAGGGAGTGTGGGCCGGCGAATCCTTAGAGCAGTGCACTCTTTGGACTTCAAAACGGTGGAATCCTAAGCGGATTTGAAAGGACCATAGATTAGGTTTCTTGAAGAAAAAAGCAGGTGCTTTCGTGCAGGCAGTGCAGGCTGAACATCTACGTTCACCAACTTGTTCGCTGGATCCCCACACTTTTGCAAGAGCCAAGAAATGGCCCAAGGCTCTTGACAAGTCCTGCATTCTTTTGCACCTTCCACTTCCCATCCACATTCAGCTCCTGCAAGGCCAACACGACCAGCTCGACGAACTGACGAACTGAATCGTCATTCATGCGCGGAGTGCCTTTCCTGTCTATATAATTATGCAAAAACAATCAAAGCTCAAGAAAGGGAGGGTATGCTACCGGGTAGGCCATGAGGAGGGAGTAAATAACTGTATTAAAAAAAAACCTAGACCTAGATGTACAGTACATAGTAAGCTTGTTCGGAATCCTGAAGCTACTGGAAGCGCAGGTTCTTGATTCTTGATCCAAACGCTTCCGGAGCTCCGGACACAAATAACTCTGTCTCCTGCCAGTTGAGTTGGGGTGCTTCCATGATGTGAGCGCCCACGGGCGATACAAGGAGGGCACCAAGACGCTTCAGAGGCCAACCTGGACGGGAGCATCTGACAGGTTCCAGGGCCTTTAAGTTCTTGTGTCCGATACTGTCTCAGATGTATCGGACACCTTCCACCGGTATTGACTACCACACAGAAAGGCCCAAATCTCGTCCTTCCGGGAGCAAAAAAAGGTCTCTGGGTGCAAATGGAGTCTCTGGGTGGTGCCATTTGGATTCCGGCGGCGAATGCTGGGTGCGGATGGAGTCTCCGGCCTTCGGGCGGCGTGCCCTGATTCTTGGCCTGCTGAAACTTCTCATCGGGGCTCACCTCAAAAAAAAAACACACAGTTCCGGTTCTTCCGAAGCGTTGCGTCTCTGACGCGTCAGGGGCCGCAACGTTTTCCTTCGTCAGTTGTCGATTGGTTTAGGGGGACCTGTGGCCCCTTCGAGTGGCTTCTCAAGCTTAAACCCACAAGCTTGATTGGCTGTCCTTCAAGCTTGAACCCATGAATGGCGATCCTGGATGGCAATCAGTGCCGAGTCACAATCCACACCTTGCCTTCGGCAGTGGCTGCACAGCTCAGAAGGAACTCCTGGCACGTGCATGTGTCCAGCTGCACGTGCTGCAAGCAGAAACTGTCGAAAAGCTCGTCCAGCTCTAGGAACCCTGTGGCTTTTGAAGGTACGAAGGTCAAGATTGGTGGTTTCAAAAGGCTTCACAAGAGAGCCTCAAGCACAATCTGTGGAAAGGTGCCTTGTTTCGAGACTGATACACAGGGTGTCCATGTTGTAGACCTTCAGACTTGCAAAGGAGAAACCTCGGTTTGGTCGAAAAGCTACTTCGGGCTGTGCCAACAATTGATTAGTGAGATGATTGTGTGTCTCTTGCTCATAGCAAAGACAGTCTGTCCACCATTCAAGTGATGCTTTCTCCCTTTGCATAAGACAAGTGCGCTTGTCTCTTGTCGCTTTTGCGTTCGGGGGATGCCATTGGATGGTGCCATTGTTCAAAACAGCTTATCACAAATCAAGACTGACCAGCATGTATTACTATGTGTGTATGCATATGTGATCATATATGTATATATAATTGGGTATAGTACACTGCCAAGCCACTGTGTGTTGAGTGCTTGGTTTTCGAAGCCACCTGCAATACAAATCTTCAGACACGAAAGCACAGCAAAACTATATATTTCGTTGTGTGGTGACAAACCAGCTTCAAGAAATGCTGGCCTGCAACTCTCACTTGCAATTCAGATGGTAGAACGCAAAAAAGGACTTGGACTCTGACGGTGGTCATGCATTCTTGAGGAGATCCATACTGGCAAAACGTCTCTGTTGATGTTCGGGGTGTCTCACCTGTCCCAAAACACTCAAGCTCCCTGAGGCCCGACCTAGTTCCAGGACATCTCCGACATAGGTCGGCGAAACCAGCCGTGCTCCCTGGCGAAGCCATCCGCCACCTGGCCCGCGGTTGAGCAGTGTGGAGTCCGTCTTCGATGTCATGTTGCTATCTAGAATCTAGAAAAACTTGATACAAAAGAACCTCTTGAACATGACCCGTGTTGAAGGGAGTAGGAAGCTTTACGGCTGTGACCATCACTGGAGGACATCTCATCTCTCTGAACATGAAGTTTTGTCTGTCCAAGACCCGGCCTGACAGACGAATCGTCTTCTGAAGAACCTTGCGGGGAACTCCGAACTGTTTCCTACTCCATGTTTGTAGAGAATTGACTGTTTCTTTTATTCTTATTGTTTTTCTTTTTGGCCCGCTATCGCTCTCCCACCTCCCCCCTCCCTACTGATTTTTATGTGGAGACTACCTACTTAATCAAGTACGGGAGTATGCTAACTAGCTAGTACCTTACTAGTACGCCACTAGGAACTGGACGCAGGATAGCTCACACTTCTTCAAGGAAGCGCTCGCACTATTCATTTGGTTCCTAGATTTTTTGGAAACTTAATGTCCTACTCCACATTTGTAGAAATAACTGCCTTTTTTAGCCCACTCACTCTGCCCCCTCCCTACTTAATTAAGTAAGAGACTGAGCTAATTAGTTTCTATCTTATTAGTACGCAACTAGGAACTGGACGCAGCTACACGCTTCTATTCATTTGGTTCCTAGATTTTTAGGGAAACTTAAGCTCCTACTCCACAAGTAGAAATAACAACAGAATAGCAATCAAATTGTTTGAGCAATGAGCTCAATCGTTGCCTTCCTTCTAGAAACTAGAGTGTCCTCTCAAGCCTTCACAAACTATCACTGCTGTACCCATCCAAAAGACCTTGACCTTGAGATCATAAGTTCCTGCCACACCCACGTCGTGTAGTGCGACAGCTGTCCTGGTTGGGATCCATTGCGTCGATCAGAAGTGCTACATCCTCTTGGCTGCGAAGCCTCCCGAACAGCAACTGAAGAAGCAAACCGTTTGCATTTCACGCACTACAAACACAATGACACCGCATGACACCTGATGACACCGCATGACACCTGTATCATTCTACTCATCAGCCACTGCCACTTGTTTCTGTCTATTCTTGTACCTCTCCGGGTCTCCCTTTCCACATTGGTTCACAACTTACAGCTTCGAGGCCCAGCCCATCCCTGCAACCAAACCTTCTGCAGTAGGTCGTCAGCCACCGCCGCCATTGTTGACTGGCCATGACCAACCGTTTGACCAGCTGGAACCTGCCGGCAGACTTGTGCTTCCAAAACATGCGAAGTGCCGATGCTGGCAACTTGAGCAGAGCACGGTTTGAAAGTACTGCACTCAAGGAGGCTCCCTCTCGGAAGGATTCGGAACCGGGAGAATGCAGGGCTTCCAGCATGTCTCTCCTATCAATCCATCGTGCCTTACCAGGATAAGGAGAATGGCAGAGAACCAAAAGTCATCAACAGGCAGTGACAGGAACCGCAGCAAGCCCATGAAGGTTTCCCGCTCTTGTCGCGGCAGCTGGTTCCTGAAGCAGTGAAGCAGTCAACTTCGACAGTGGACGCTGCTCATACAGTGGGCCGATATCGCTAGGTGGCCAACATTCCCTTGCATTTGCAAGTTTCAATTCCACGATTGTTCAACACAAATCTTTCAGCCTCACTGGAAGGATCAAGGAAGCAAAGGGTGATGAAAAATAGAACTAAAGAAAAACTAAAAACACCTCCTCAGAAAATCCAAATCATTGAGAAGTAAGAGCCCCTATAAGCTTTCAGCTCTCTGGCTATCTGAAAAAGCAACTCCTTGAAAAAACAAAAACGCCCTGAAAACCAACACATCCATCCCAGGGACACCAACGGTTCCACGATGCCGATGCTGGCGGGATCCCCCGAAGTGGCCCGCCGCGCGGATCTCCCGTGCGGAGGATCCCGTGCGGGGCCCAGGAGCTGCCACACCTGACGGGCAGACGAGTGGCGGGACCCAAACGGGGTTCCAAAATCCAACCTACTAGCGTCCTTGCTACTAGTAGCGATGCCCTTTGTTACTAGTAGATTCTTGCTACTAGTAGTGATGCCAGGAGCTACTACTAGCGTCCTTGCTACTAGTAGCGATGCACCTAGCAACTTTAGTAGCTTCTTGTTGTTCAGCTGTTTTTGTGTTTGTCTTTTTTTGCAAATCACCTGGGGCGGTCATGGTGAGGCTTTTCAGGTCGGAATCACAGCAGTCGGTGTCATCGACTCTCTGGTCCCGTTCTGTGCTCAATGTCTGACAAATGGAGTTCTGATCAGAAATAGAACATGTTCTGGTAATTCAGCTGCAAATGTTCATTTACAAAGAGGCCGTGTCCTGGTTTGCAGCAAAGAACTGAGCGCTCTTCCAGGACACGGCATCTTTACTGCCGTGGCCTCGCCCATTTGGCACAGGAGAAGAGCCATCGGCAGTAGAACTTTGCTCCGCCGATGCCATGTCATCCCAGCCATCCCCGGCTTGTCTCCAGGACTCCAGGTGTTGTCCGACTTTCCAACTCACTGTGTTTCCAAAAGGACCAACATGGTTCTTTCACCCAAACGCTTACAGCAAGTGTTGTCGTGGCTCAGATCGAGCTCCAAAAGGAAAAACCTATCGCTCAAACTAAACGAAGATCAGACCTCTCCGCAGTGACATACTGCAGTGACACACTGCGGTATGTAGATTTTCCTCCTGTCCTTTCAAGTGAATTGTCTGGCATGTCACAATGAATTCCTTGAGGTGGCGCGGTGTAAGAGCGTGTGCTTCCGGCATCTTTGGATTCAATCCAGCTTCACTGCAAAATGGTCGAAAACGAACTTCATGATGCTTCACTGCTCTCCATATCTGGATGTTTATCACTTTCTCTACATGTACAAAATTACAAAATTGTTTTGTTCTGGTTTATCACTTTCTCAGCACTCCTTCTTCACACCTCAAAATCTATGAAGTCATCCAGGTCCGAAGCACCAGGCCTTGGAGGGTGGCGAGCGACTTGAAAAGAACGAGCAGAGTTCTATCCGACTGGTGGTGTTTGCTGCTTTGGACCTCTTGGAAAACGACCTTTAGGTTTTTTGCTTGAACACGAATGACTAGAGCATGAGCCAATTGAATGTTCATAGCTGGAGACATAGCAAGCGTACATAGGTGTAATTTACTTGCCCACCTGAGCTAGTGTAAAGAGATACTCCAACATGGGCCTTACCCTGCTGATCTTATTGAAATCTATAGTCACAGGACAAACAAACATCACTCCTTTCGCAGTTCTTGAAATCCTGAACTCTGATCACGTGGGCACAGCCAACGACCTCCGTATGGAGGCCCAGCAGCTCATCCAACAGAAGCATGGGCACCCGACTGTCGCCCAAGAGCCAAACTAAGCAAGTCCTCAGATGCGAAAAGAAGGAACACTGCTTGTTGTGCCAAGTCTACTGTCTTTGACACAGTAGTAACTATCTTTCTCCCCAATTGAACCTGTCAAGCATATCCAATATCCTGCTTCATAGCAAATGAAAATACACATTTGACACGATCGATGACTCCAAAAAGGAAAGGAAACCACGGATATCAAAAACTTCCAAATTATCGTGAAAAAACAAAAACAATTCATTTAAGCGGTCAACCTTATGTAGAAAATAGTGCTTTGATGGCTTCAACTCAGCTAAATGTCAAACCGCTCCATTGTTCAAACAAGCCACAGCACCCTGCGAGGCATCAAAATCTTCCTCCATGTTCCAGCACAAAGAAGATTGCAGCTCAAAACTGGCAATTATATGGCTTGGGTTGCGAAGGGCTATGCCTTATGCGATGCGTGCTTGCAATGTGGGGGGGGCACTACATCCAAGCATTATTCTAAAAGCTGCAGCTACATTGATTCTCCATAGCGAGCTACGAGTGAGTTGTTTTCATCAATACTCTGACCAGTACAACGCAAATGTTAGGCATTAAGGTTGATTAATGATTGGGACCATCTCTTCGAGCTTGAGACATTTACAGAACAAAACTTGAGAGTGACAATGACCTGCAAAGCGTCGTTCAATCACATTTCAACCCGAGGTCTTTCTTTCAGCATCGGCAAACGTCCCTCCAAGCGTTCTTGGCAAGTTCTCTCCCAAACAAGAGAAGAACGGTCCCATCACGACGACCCACCCTTGAGGCATCCCTCTGGCCAGCCCCACTCGATCTCACTTCTTTTCTCCTCCCTCCGTGGAAGCGACTTCTACGGCGCCCGGAAGCGATCCCCGGTGATCCACACGGTGTGCTCCGAGGACTTCACCACCTCCTGAAGGGGGCGATCGGTCGGCAGCGAGCTGCCAAGGGCCGGGCAGGGCGGAAACTGAAAGAAGACCGTTCATCAAAGGCCGGGGGGGGTAGGAAGCTACTAGGAACAAGTGCCTTACTATAGTACGCGAATTTATTATAGAAGATGATATTAACACATTTTCAAACAGAAGTCTGCATATTCCTCCCGTGGCAGGGTTCCGGGACAAATAGAAGAAAGGCGTCAAGATAACAGGTTGATAAACGTGCTCACCAACAGGTCTTCAAATAGAAGAAATCGTATTTTTGGCACAAAATGCACATGAGCCGCCCGCTCTCTTTCCCTTGCGCTCTCACTCTTTCTCGCTCTCTCCCTCCCTCCCTCCCTCCCTGGAGAAGAGACAGTTCTGCAAGGAAGCTCCCGGTGAACCAGCTCACAGCGCCGGGCCGAGCGATGGACCCGTTACGGGGAATAGACACAGAGAGCGCAGCCCTCCAAAAAGGTTTAAAAAAATGCTTTAAAATTGCTGCGTTTTTTTGAGCTCAGAGACGTCACCGGGTCGCATCCCGACCCGACAGAGACCCGACAGAGACTTGTTTGAAGAAAAATTGTAAACATTGAGTACAATTTTTAGAAAATTGAGGAGAAAAAGTGTAGAAAAAGACAAGTGCCCTGGAAGAGCCTTTTTTGAGCTTGAAAAGGTTTGCTAAAGAACCTAAAAAGTGTAGAAAAAGTAGCTAGTTATTTTTTAAAGTAGCCAGTTCCTGTCTCCTTTCTCCTTTCGGCCTGGAAGACCAGGGCCTTCCCTTCCCTTTCCACCGTTCCTTCCTTCTCTTTACCTTTACCTTCCTTTCCTTTACCTCCTTCCCCCTTCCCCCTTCTCAGATTCTCCCTTCCCTTCTGCTTCTCCCCCTGCCTTCCTCCTTCCCCCTTTCCCCACCCTTTCTCCTTTCCCTTCCCTTCTCTTCTTTGCATTTTTTGTATCTTCTATTTGAAGTGGCTTGGGCCTGGAAGACCAGGGCCTTCCCCTTCCCTTTCCACCTTTCCTTCCTTCTCTATACCTTTACCTTCCTTTCCTTTACCTCCTTCCCCCTCCCCTTCTCAGATTCTCCCTTTCCTTCTGCTTCTTTCCTCCTGCCTTCCTCCTTCCCCCTTTCCCCACCCTTTCTCCGTTCCCTTCCCTTCTCTTGCTTTTCTTTGCCATTTTGTATCTTCTATTTGAAGTGGCTCGGGCCTGGAAGACCAGGACCTTCCCCTTCCCTTTCCACCTTTCCTTCCTTCTCTTTACCTTTACCTTCCTTTCCTTTACCTCCTTCCCCCTTCCCCGGTCTTAGATTCTCCCTTCCCTTCTGCTTCTTTCCCCCTGCCTTCCTCCTTCCCCCTATCCCCTTTCTCCTTTCCCTTCCCTTCTTTTCCTCTTCTTTGTCTTTTTTTTGTATCTTCTATGTGAAGTGGCTCGGGCCTGGAAGACCAGGACCTTCCCCTTCCCTTTCCACCTTTCCTTCCTTCTCTTTACCCTTACCTTCCTTTCCTTTACCTCCTTCCCCCTTCCCCCTTCTCAGATGCTCCCTTCCCTTCTGCTTCTTCCTCCCTGCCTTCCTCCTTCCCCCCTTCCCCACCCTTTCTCCGTTCCCTTCCCTTCTCTTCCTCTTCTTTGTCTTTTTTTGTATCTTCTATTTGAAGTGGCTCGGGCCTGGAAGACCAGGTCCTTCCCCTTCCCTTTCCACCTTTCCTTCCTTCTCTTTACCTTTACCTTCCTTTCCTTTACCTCCTTCCCCCTTCCCCCGTCTCAGATTCTCCCTTCCCTTCTGCTTCTTTCCCCCTGCCTCCTCCTTCCCCCTTTCCCCACCCTTTCTCCTTTCCCTTCCTTTCTCTTCCTCTTCTTTGCATTCGTTTGTATCTTCTATTTAAAGTGGCTCGGGCCTGGAAGACCAGGACCTTCCCCTTCCCTTTCCACCAGTCCTTCCTTCTCTTTACCTTTATCTTCCTTCCCTTTACCTCCTTCCCCCTTCCCCCTCCTCAGATTCTCCCTTCCCTTCTGCTTCTTTCCCCACCCTTTCTCCTTTCCCTTCCCTTCTCTTCCTCTTCTTTGCTTTTTTTGTATCTTCTATTTGAAGTGGCTCGGGCCTGGAAGACCAGGGCCGTCCCCTTCCCTTTCCACCTTTCCTTCCTTCTCTTTACCTTTACCTTCCTTTCCTTTACCTCCTTCCGCCTCCCCTCTCAGATTCTCCCTTCCCTTCTGCTTCTTTCCGCCTGCCTTCCTCCTTCGGGCCTGGAAGACCAGGGCCTTCCCCTTCCCTTTCCACCTTTCCTTCCTTCTCTTTACCGTTACCTTCCTTTCCTTTACCTCCTTCCCCCTTCTCCCTTCTCAGATTCTCCCTTCCCTTCTGCTTCTTTCCCCCTGCCTTCCTCCTTCC